CGAAATAGAAATATTTTGTTATCAATAGATAGCTGAAGACGTGCTGGTTCTGAATATCTGCTTTGAAATCGCGTAACATAATTGAGTAAGCAAAGAATCTTTATTTCGTATGTAGTAACGATATCCGCAATCGGTTTTGTGTACCGTGATCTCTCGTCGTAGGAACCATTTTCAAAACAGACATTTATATACCATTCGATAGCCCTTTGAAAGGGCTACATTTTCCACTATTTGTATTTGAATTAGGAGCAACTTCGATTTTTCATCTAATTTCCGTCTGGATGCCAACTGTGGCTCGATGGGTACAGGTCTGAAAAAACCTAAACCGGCAAAACTCTAGCTACCATCATTCATAAGTATAATGATGAATGCCTTGCCTAGATTCAGCGCGCATATACTCTCGAGACGTTGTGGTTAGACTAGCATCTCTGTTAGGAATTAAAATGCCAGTGTTGCTTACTTCGAAATGATAGGTATTTGTTTCACCCTCTTTTGGATGTAATTGTTCTTCAAGAATTACAAGTGGATCGCGTATAAAAATATGAGCAATATGTTGCGCTAATGTTTCGTCAATATCTATAGAAAAGAACATAGAAAATAAAAGATTTGATAAAAAGATCAAATAAATACCATTTGATATAAGTTTCTTAAAAATCTTTTGATCAACAACAACTTTAATATCGTTGTATTTTGAACTTGATTCCGATATGTAACAATCTGTTGATGCAAAACGAGATTTTTTAATTGTAAAACGATCATTTTTCAACGGTTTTAATCCTTGTTCTTCTAATGTTCGATCATCAGCACTTTCGCATAGTATTTTCCAACGACAATCAATATCCGCTAAATATCCACGCCAGATTGGACAAGCAGCACTCAATGCCAACTACGCATAAGTACATTTTTTATTATTTATTAATAAAGAACATTTTATTTTCTTACCATAATTGGTGTTAATGGTATCAGTTGATCGTATAGAAATCCACATTCTTCCAAACATTCTGCTTGAAATGTCACTTGTAAACACGAACATCCCCATCCAGATGATGATGAATCCAAATGAATATGATCATCTAAACAATTTACCGTATAATCAGCTGAATCAACACCATATATAGATAAATCTTCACGAAATGGTTTTGTTGTATTTGTATCAGGATAAACTAAGAAAAAAACAGATAAATGATGATTGATGATAGATAAAATTAAATAGTAAGAATCTATGTTGTCTATCTACTTGGAATATTGACAGATATTTTTGCTTTTCGTCTTGCTATCAAATTTTTTGCCAATTGTCTAAACTAATAAAGTTTTAAGTAGATGATAAATATTGAACATTCAATAAAACTATTACCTCGTTCGTGGATGAACAGGTGACATTACATCATCAGGAAAAAATAATGATAATTCAACGGAATTTAATGGATCATTTTTAAGAATTGGATAAGTGAATGCCGGTGAACCCAACCTGAAACATCATCAACGCATGCTGTTGTTTGTTCTCATTTTTATCTAATTAATACATACCTTGGAAAAGCTGAAATATTCAGTATATATTCATCTTTGTCAAGGATGTTTTGCACTTGTTGTCGTCTACAATAACAGCAAAATAAATAAATTTATTAAACAATGACCAATTATCGAACTGGCATACTAGACTACGTTCAAGTTTGATCAGAATATGTTCTAAACTAATTATTAGAAAAGTTCTCCAGTGAAGTTTTTTCGTTGAACTAATAAATTCTTGCAATCTGTTTTTCTGGTGGACGATAGAGTAGATTATCCGTATATTTTTCGTGTTATTTTTGTTATGTACGAGAAATGCAATATGTTACTACGCTTTACAATTCCATATAGAAACATAATAATATTCTACTCCGTTGCATCGACGTAGAATAGTCTGAAACGTACTGTGGATCAACACCAGAGATTGAAACGTGCCGGGTCAGGTTAGAGAAAAAATTATTTTCAGGTTCAATTCGAGTCATATTACTAGAAACACAGAAGCAAATTTTTGCCGAATAGTCATTTATTTTCGAACATATATTTATATTTATCGAAACAAATGCTCTATACTTTTATTTTTTGTTCAATATGTGGTTCATACGTCCTCTAATAATATATATTCAAGAGCGATTTTCAGCTTCGGATCATTGTTGGATCAACGACGAAGCATTTCTGCGTGAGTCGGGATCACAACTAGAAAGGTTGGTAAGCAATGTGGATCGAGTAAACCATACTCAAGTCAGATTCGGATCACGCATTCGTGATCCCATTCCATCTTTGATCAGTATCATCATGGCAGACTGACTAATTTCACGTTGAGAAAAAGCTTAGAAAACTATATAATTTCAGCACGACTTATTGCAAATTTACATAAATTCTACTTTGATGACAGAGTGAATGTTTGAAAAAGCGAGCTTAATTATTTGGAGAATCATTATTTCTCTGGAAAAACTGAAGACTCTGTAGAATAGAGAAATAGAAGGGCTACCAGGATAACTGCTCTAAGTGGGAGGCAGAGAACGCGCTAAAAACGTTTAAAACAAAATTTTGTCAATGAAACAGCGACTTTAACGTATTATGATGGAATGGATTCTTCTTCTATTATAGTGCGATAAATCTGAATTCTCTACAAAAGCTTCTACTTCCGATATTCATACGTTTTTTTATTATTTGAAAAAATAATGTGACGTAAAGAATGCTAAGAAATCGCGACGATCATTATCAACATTTTGGCAAATTTTTAGATTTGACGAATCTTTTTTGAAATAATGAGAAATTTGTAAAACTACTTGTTCATCAACATCGCAAAAGCTTTTAGTTGTACAAGAAAGAGTAGTCCTTTTATGTGACCATAAAATTTGATTCAAGAGCAGAAGAAAAGTAACCAAAGAATGAATTACTGGATTTCATAGAGCAGAAAATTCTCTATCTTTCATCTCTAGAGATGATTCTTGGAATTGTATAGTATCTAAAAATAATTATGAGCAGAAATGATTCATTTCTTTGAGGTCCATTGAAGCACGGTTAGTTCACGCATTACTAATGGTAAATTAACACAATATGACGCGAAAAAAAGTTCATAATTTTGAAACGCGTTTTTCAACACAACACAATGCAGCAAAATGCACTGTTGTATTGAGTATAAAAAATGTTTGTTGTTTTACAGTGCATAAAACTTGTATCGGTCAATTACACTTAAACGATAAAAAACACATTCTCTTATATAAAATAAATTTCATGAGACATGTAACTAGATAAAACTACTTTCACATTTACTTACATGACTATCGCGATTGTTGTATTAAATATCATCATTTATTTTCTTTATTTACCTTAATTTCATATTTGCTTCAACCGTATTAAAATGTATTGGTAAAAAGCCATAGGGTTTCTCAGGAACACCTTCCACAACATAATTACACGCTTCTGGATGCCAAACAATATGACATTCACTAAAGTTCATCAAAACAATAATTGTTCAATATATACATTAGTTTTTATCATACTTTTCACTCAATTCTTTGTTTTTCTCGCTTAGTGTGGGTAACAGTTCGTGAGCTTTCAGTAATAGTTGTACTTTTTTATTTGCATGATCAAATCGCACAAGTGTGAATTCAACCTAAGTTATGTTTAAAAAATAATTGGTTAATTTAGTAAAGTATAACACAAAAAACCTACTTCATCTCCCCATGAAAAACAATCATGTTTCCTATTTTCAAAGATTTTATATAAATAAATGAATTGGTCAACACCATATTGTCGAATTTGTTCTCTCTGGGATTTTATTTCTTCCCATGATAATTGTCTACCTTCAGTTAAAAGACCCATAGATCTGAAACAAGTAAAGTGCCATTGTTCTGTAAAAGACTTATTAGCATAGATCTATGCTTTGAGTGTAATTCCGTCTAGTTTCCATTATGATACTGGCTCTTCTACAGCAGATAGTTTCGTATCACATATTACATTAAGTAAAGTCAATGCGTGTACTGATCAAATAGAGAAGGAAAGAGAGAAAGATGGAGCGAAATCATGCTTTTCTAGAAGGTAAACTCATGGCACCTTTCTTATATAACCCAACCTTGAGATTAGTTCGATTTAGTTTTAGAAAAAAATCTCGAATAAACTCACATCTGATAGGCACTGTTAATTTCTTTAACAAAAAAGCTTTTGTATCACTTTGAGTTATGATTTTCGATATATATGGAAAATTTAAACAAAATTTCTATTAACCCTCATCCGCCCACCTATAGGACTATCACTTGTTGCCCACCTGGGGTCCGTCCGGACCCCAAGTTGATAAAACAGGTTTAAAAATCACTGTTAAGACATGGAACATTTTTAATAACATATT